TCTTAAATTCATATATGCTCTTCCCTATTTGATCTCGGTATAACTCCCTCAAAGTCCCCCTTTGAGAAATTAAGTTAAAATTATAGTTAGTGGGAAAAAAAGTTGGGAACCAATGATACTGAATTTTAATTGTGTATGCAGTTGTGTAGGAATTGATATCCTCAGAGTATTAGAAATTAACAGTGTAAGGCCGTTTACTCAATGATGCAAACTCATATTGAGTTTGCAAATGACAAATGACACAGTGCAAGGTAAGCTTTATATCCCAATATATTCATCATCCAGGCCTTTAGAATCATTTGGTGTACAGGTGAATATTCTGTATCTCTCTCTCCTCCTCCCTCCCCCCTCTTCTCTCTGAGAAAGGGATCTCTCTATATTACCCAGGCTAGTCTTGAACTCCTGGCCTCAAGCAACTGTCATGACTTGGTCTCCCAAGGCACTGGGACTATAGGCACTAACAAGGCATCTGTTAGTCATTTCTTCAGGCTCATACTTTCCCATCTTCAACATGAACCTTGCTCTCAGGTACCTGTCGATCCCACAAGTGTGCTGTGTACTCTTGTAGCTGTGCTGTGCTTCTGGCTGAAATCATCTACTTCTTTTCTGAATTACTCTTCAAGGTTTATCTCACGTTTCTGGGCGCCTTCTGTGACTTGCTCAGCAGTCTTGACACGCTTTCTTAGTGTTCTCTTAGCAACCTCTGCATCCCTATTTTCTATCTGAAGTAGACTTTCACAATTTAAAATAAAATTTTCTCTAATTATGTATCACCTCAGCAGTTGATACCGACTAACATCTACCACTGACAATTATGGCCAAATTAAAGGCCAATGCATGTTACAATACCTTATTTTCTGAAGTTTTATAGCCCTGGCAATTAGGAGTAATGTGTCATCCACTCCAAATTTCGCTTTACTTCAGTATAGCCTTAGTATGCATTTGCAGGTTATTATGTTATTCCTATGTTGTTCTTATGTTGCTGGTTTATTTCCCCCTTTTTAGAGCCTATTTTCATTTAAAGAATACATAACATACTGTATACCATGCACTAAACTAGAGCTATTTCTCAATATATCAGATTATGAAACTGTTATTTGCTTTTCAGGTTATAATCTTTTGTTCCATAGAGGATATAAGCAACTGATAGAAACTTTTAGTTTCATCGTTCATTTAATCATTTCACTGAGAAAAAATTATTAATCACAGTAGTTATAATTTAGACAAAGATATAAATGAGCGTCATGCAGGGGGTTAAAGGTTGAGTAGTATGCCTATTGGTTACGATTGAAAAACTACACCTTGTTAACGTCTCATAGGATGCGTGATTTGTAAGCTTCAGCTCATTCTGCCCAGTTAGGTCTTTCTTATCAGCACAAAATCCTTTTCTGTTTTCATTTATTCAACACATCTTTACTGAGTCCTGTACTATGCTCAGCACTCTACCAGGCACAGGCAAAACAACCATGAGTCAAACCTGGTGCACGGATCTTACAGAATAGTGGGAAAAACAGATGCTATTCAAAGCGTCAGACAAACAGATTTAGATGATAAATTCTGATCATTTTTACCAAAGGGAAAAGTACAGCGCTATTTAGGTTTGCAAAAATGGCTTTTAATTTTCTTGCAAAGACCAAAGCCAGCAGGGATTTGAAAGAAGACTGTTGGTAAACTAGGATAAGATGAGTTTGAGCACAGGCCCTACGGCAGATACAGGCCATGTGGCGGGCGGGATGTTTATGGAACTAACAGAAGGTTGGGCTGCAGAGAGCAGAGAAAGGCGTGAAACAGAAGAGTCTGGAGAGCTAGAGCAGGGAATGAGCATGCTGGCTCTGGTAGGTCTGGTGAAGGACTTTATCTCGTGAGGAATGAGTTTATTTTAAGAGCCTCTGAAGTAGAGGAGGACCCAGATTATTTCAAAGGCTTCATCTTTCTACATCGAAATATAATTATTTCATAGGCTTTCCTAAATCTTGAAAACACTTTGAGAAATTTTCATATTTACTGTAGGCATACATAGCAATAATAAGAGAGGAATACTAGCTCGGTGCAGTGGCTCATGCCTGTAATCGCAGCACTCTGGGAAGCCAAGGCGGGTGGATTGCCTGAGCTCATGGGTTCCTGACCAGCCTGAGCCAGAGTGAGACCCCATCTCTAAAAACATCCAAGTGTTGTGGCAGATGCCTGTGGTCTCAGCTACTTGGGAGGCTGAGGCAAGTGAATATCTTGAGCCCAGGAGTTTGAGGTTGCTGTGAGCTATGATGCCATAGCACTCTACCATGGGTGACAAAGTGAGACTCTGTCTCAAAAAAAAAAAAAAAAGATAAGAATATTAAAAAATATACAGTGTCATCCCTTTTTTTTGAGACTCTATTTCCATTGGAAAAATAAGATGTAGACACAGAAAATATTCAAGTGACATGCACTCAGGTCTTCATTTATTAAGTAACACATAAGGTCTAGAATACAGCCCCTTACCCAATATCCTTTTATACTTAATATTATATTTAGTTATTTAAACTCAATTATTTAGTGTTTTATCCTTGAAGTCTATTAAAATTTAATAGGATTATTACTAATAATGAAGTTGATTTGTTAATAAAACTCTGGGGAAAGTATATATATATATACATTTATACAGTTTTATTATTTGGGAAGAGATAAAAAGTCCATGTAAAGAATACTTTCAGAAAATATTTGTTTTGGAACCCAAGACAAGAGTAAGTTACCTGCAATTTCTGGTGTGGTGGGACCCTGAGAAGCCAAGTGTGTCAGCTGTGATGGTCCTCTGTCTGCCCTGAGGTGTCCAGAGGGCCCAGGCAGGGCAGATGCTAGAGCCTTCCCAGAGATAGGGCAGTTAGAGCCCTTTCAGAGACAGAGCAGTTAGAGCCCTACCAGAGATAGGGCAGTTAGAGCCCTCCCAGAGGCAGGCCAGAGGTGATAGCTTGAGGCTGTCTCAAAAAAAAAAAAGAAAGAGATAGAAATATTACTTCTGATGGTGAAATTGTTTAGATCATATAAAATGCAAATGAGATATAATTTTGTATTAAAAAGGTAGCCCTCCCAAAGACAGGGCACTTAGAGCCCTCCCAGAGACAGGGCAGACGCTAGCTAGAGCCCTCCCAGAGGCAGGCCAGTTAGAGCCCTCCCAAAGACAGGGCAGTTAGAGCTCTCCTAGAGACAGGGCAGATGCTAGAGCCCTCCCAGAGACAGGGCACTGAGGCCCTGGGGGCTCTGGCTTCTGCCATCTTAGAGTCAGAGTGCTTTCTGCTGCTCTGCCAAACTCCCACTGCCAGAGTTTGCGGTGATCCCCTGCACATTTCTTATGCATTAGGCTTAGTAATAAAGGACGGGGGAATCTCCTAAGAGAGGGAAGTCTCTGACAGGGAGTCTGGGAACTCACCTGCTCATGGGACTGTGGGACCTTCAGCCCATTGCTCAACCTCATCCCTGGCTTCTATGGAACTAGTGGCTTGAACTAGATAAATGTTTTGCATCCCTAGCATCATTAAGTCCCAAGAGGAGAGAAGGGTCAGGAGAAGCTGCAGAAACAACCCCCCTGTGTCTGATACCCTTGAAGACTGTAGGTGGGACCTGGGCAGTGGCATTGGTGTAAGTTCAGCCGGGGATTCTAATGTGGGGCAGGCTTGAGAATTCCTGCACTCAGTGATCTGGGTGATAGCTTCTATTTAGCATCTGGACATGTTCCGTCCATGGAGACGTGTTTATACGCAGTTTCATAATCCTCACAGTGGCCCCTTGGGCTAAGCATCTTTATGTCTTTTTTACCTGTGTAAAATCTGAGTCTGAGAAGCAGCCTGTCCAAATTCACCCCGCCTGCCTGTTCAGTGCTATTGCCGACCAACCGCAGGGCCTGGCACTGTCCTAATCTTTCCCAGGAGAGGAAGATGGAATGAGCTCAGTGCAAGAAACAAACTCGGCAAGGGTTGAAATGCCATCCAATTCTTACAGCTTGCTTTTGTTTCTGGCAGTAGCCTCACTCCACCTACCAAGGAACTGCTATTGTTTACACAATTGACTCTGAATTCTGACAGGGAACGTGCCACTCACATTTGAGTTTGAGTTGCAGTTAAGTAGCCCAGGCTGAGGCTGCCCTGATTTCAGAGTCATGGGGAGACTTCTTTCCTTCTCCCGTGTTATTGTCCAGTAATCTTTGTCATGGAACCAAAGGCACTGCCTGCCTGGCCCTGTGTGGCCCTGGACCTTTGAAAAGCCTGAATTCCTTCCTGTAGGGAAATCCCCAGGACATCCTTTGTGACCCTGCATCACAGCACCACGGAAGCCCTCCCTGTTTTCCCCGCCATTCGCTTCATGTGTAGTCTGGTGTAGAGCTTGAGAAAGAACATGAGTGCAGAAATTGGGGTGGAGGGAGTGTTCAGAGGGGGAATTGTCTATCTGAAGGCGTGAGAGCCTCGTGACAAATATTTTGAAGTGTTTTTATCTTTGTCATTCCATCTAGAGTCTCACTGGTCTGCTGAGTATCCCCAGGATATCAGAAAAATAATAGAAAAAAATCCATAGAAGGACAAACTGCATGGCTGAACATAATGTTTATTAGTGTATAGCACGTGTTTTGTTAAAGCGTTAATTAATGCTAGTTAAAAGGGAGATTCTAGGAAGCCGTGCTATTATTTGTAACACTCAGGAAGCTATTCCATAGTTGTCTAAGACATTCCTCTGCAAAAAAACAGGCATGTGCCTGGTACAGACAACATAATGAGTTCTGTAAAGATTGGTGGATAAGAGATTTGGGGAGCAGGCAGGATTTGTACAGGCAATGTTTAGGCAAGGGAGATTTCTAAGTGGAAGGTCAAAGGGATTCAGGAATTGGAAGTTGTAGTCAGGAAGGACACCCAAGGGGATTAGTGAGTAAAGAGGTTGGGAAGGGTAGGGCCGTATGATGCAGCGTTGAGTAATAGTGATACAGCGTATGCCTTCGCTTTCGGGTGATACATGATGATGTTTTAATTCTTCTGCAGGCTCCCGCCTTCGTCAGGAAGATTTTCCACCTCGTATTGTTGAGCACCCTTCAGACCTAATTGTCTCAAAAGGAGAACCTGCCACTTTGAACTGTAAAGCCGAAGGCCGCCCCACGCCCACGATTGAATGGTACAAAGGAGGGGAGAGAGTAGAGACGGACAAAGATGACCCTCGCTCACACCGAATGTTGCTGCCAAGTGGATCTTTATTTTTCTTACGTATAGTACATGGCCGGAAAAGTAGACCCGATGAAGGAGTCTACGTCTGTGTAGCAAGGAATTACCTGGGGGAGGCCGTGAGCCACAATGCATCGCTGGAGGTAGCTAGTAAGTAAAACGGGCTTTCTGTGTTTGGCGGGGGGAGTGGGATCATTTGTCCTGACGGTAACGGCAGTAAGAAGTCAAATTTGTGTAACCGTAACTGGCTTTCCTTGACAATAATCTCTAGCTTTCTATGTGAATTCAATCCACTATTTGAATTTTCTGTATTTCTCTTTCTTTCTGGTTATTCAGGCTAAATTTGGACTTGTGATTTAAAGTTGGTTTTTATTGAACATTTTCAGTAAATTTGTTTTATCCCCACCTTTTCGTTTTAAAATATATCAAATATCCACATACAGTGGTTAGTTCCTACTCTATGTGCATTCTTATTATTGTCAGATTTTTAAAAAGGAATTACAGACTTGAATATAGATCTCCTAGATCTTCATTTTCAAAACACCTTTAGCTTTACCCCAGATGATCCAGATGCCCTTAGTGCCATGGGATTTAGAGAGCTGTTTTCCCTAATCTGGCTCTTGTTGAGAGACTTTAGAAATATTACTAGTCTCTAGTTAAGTTCTCTTTCTTAGCCGGACATCCCATTCCCTTGGGAGGCCATTATAGGAAAAGCTTTCCAGTCTTAGGAAGTGCACAATCGTGGAATCAAAACCAGACATATGATCATTCCAGCACTTTTACCAGTGAAATATTCCAATACACAGCATTTTAATGCATGATACATAAATTTCAGGATAGTAGTCATCATTATGTTTCCAAAATGTTTTCAAGCTTTAAAGAAAAAAGAATATTATAATTTACTAAATAAAATTCAACATATAGGTACTTTTAAAGATATATTATTTAGTAACAAATCATATACACAGAGAAATGTGTAGATAATAAACGTTTATCAAATAGAGTTTGATATTAATAAGGATAGTTTGATCATAAGGATGCTTATGGGTGATAATCATTTGAAATCCTGAAATAGTTTGTGTAGCATGTGCTTTAAATTTTATTCTGGTTTAATTGCAATTATTAGAACATGTTTTTATTTGAATAAATTGTATGACTTGGACACAAAAGTTTATGAGAAAAATGAGAATTTTGTGTATTGAAAAAGTTTGGGAACTGTTATTGAGTGAATTTATGCTTCACTGCACTAAAAATGAATATGCATTAGGTCAAGTCTGTGTATTTCAGCTGTTTATTTCTTGGCAATAGGGACTGGTCACTTACCATCTTTAAGACGTCTCTATTCTAAAAGCCAAACTAGCCTTTTGTGTGCTACGTAACCAAACAGGATAGAGGAGGAAGTTTGGGCCATGTCTGCTGTAAGTTAAACTTGGGAAATACTTTTACAGTTAGTTTTATTTTTTTCTTGAAGAATATTACTACTTTTAAAAATGTTCCCTTCATTTACGTACCAGAAGTTCAGTTAAGAACTAATCTTACGTTCCCCAAGGCTCAGACACAGGAAGACGAAGATTGCATCTAGTTTCTTAGAGAAGCTTTCGCCCCAAGAAACCGCATTAACAAAAGTGTCTTGAGGCAACCCAGGTTTCCCAGTGCAGTTGTTGGTAATGCTTTTATAAACATTATCTGTGTTTTATTTGCCTTTAAACCAAGTTTTGCAGCTGTAACAACAACTGTATTTCTTGGTTCCTAACACTTGTCAATCTCTCAAATATTGAAAAAAAATGACATGAATGTCATTTAAAACTTTCTGTATAACAAAGACATTCTTGTCCATTATACCTTTAATAATTATTTAAATGGAAATATTGCACCAAATGATCCTGCTTATTGGTTATCTTTAGGAGTGTTTATTTCCACTTTCTTTTAAACTCCAGTCATAATGGGGAGACCTTAGTTCAGATGCTGGCAAACCTTCGCTCTCCTTTGCCTCGTGGCAAATGCTGTACTTCTTGTTCTTGAAAGCTCACTTTTAGTGTGGTTAAACTTATCGCACGTAATTACAAAGTCTGATATTTGAAATGCTGAGAAATATATGCCCTTCCCTATTTCTAACATTTTCACCTGGAATTTTTTAATGTTTGAATTTATAAAGAAGAAATTTTAATCACAGATGTGCTCTTAAAATTTATTTTTCAACTATTATTTTCATTTGCAAACCAAGAATGACGTCTTGATGGGAATATTAAATTACATCTTTTAGAAGACATAGCTGTTTCTAAGATTTACGAAAATTCGTCATTTGTCTAATATAGTTGCACACCTAGCTTTCTAAAAATGCCTTTCAAGCAGTATTTTCATACTTATTTTGAATTAGCTCCATTTGAAAGTCTATGAAATATTTAGAAAAATATTTACGAGTCTGTACTTCTGTATCCAGTACTGTATATCATTGATTATTAAACGTAAAACTCCAGGTGATAGCCAACACAACTGGCAGCTCAGTTCTTTGACACAACTCATATTTAATAAATAATTTAATCTAGGGTAATTGTACTGAATTTAAAAAATAATTTGAACCTGGATCCTTATGCTTTCCATTGTAGAGCCTGGCTCTCTCCATCATTTGCTAAGTAGTGTCCTAAGCCAGCATGTGGCTGTTTGTTTCTTATTTACACTGTTTTCTCCTGAGGAAGAGAAATTCCCTTCTGACTAGGCAGACATCTCTGACTCTCTCAGGAGGAAAACCAGAGAACTACATTTCCTTTAAAAAAATATCGTTTAAGAAAAATTAATCAAAGATTAAATCTTTTAGCTATTTTTAACTGGTATGCTTTTTAGTAGTTGTTACTTTGAAGTAAAATATTTGCATTTTGAAGGGATTTTTTTCCCACTGCTTACACATATTATGTTCTTTTATGTTATGATGAAATGATGTCTCTTAAATAGATGTAGAATTTGAAGTTTACAATTTTTCCTCATTTAGTTAAAATAAGTAAGTCAACTGACCATGTATGCTGAGTAGCCACATGTTTACCTAGGTACAAAAGAATGTATTCCCAAAGTCTAGTACTTAGAAGATAGAAATATAATGGCTCAGTGCCTATAGCTCAAGCGGATAAGGCTCCAGCCACATACACCTGAGCTGGAGGGTTCTAGTCCATCCCGGGCCTACCAAACAACAATGACAGCTGCAACCACAAAACAGCTGGGTGTTATGGTGGGTGCTTGTAATCCCAGCCACTTGGGAGGCCAAGGCAGGAGAATCACTTGAGCCCAGGAGTTGGAGGTTGCAGTGAGCTGTGATGCCACAGCACTCTACCCAGGGTGATAGCTTGAGGCTGTCTCAAAAAAAAAAAAAAAAGAAAAAGATAGAAATATTACTTTTGATGGTGAAATTGTTTAGATCATATAAAATGCAAATAGGATATACTTTTGTATTAAAAAGGTATATTGATTTATAGCGTGTGTGTGTGTGTGTGTGACCAGAAAAATCAGAGAAGGGGGAATTTGTCCAGCGTCACATAGCAAATCAGTGAGGGGGTGAAGACCAGAATTTGAGTTCTTCCCATTTTGAACTTAGAATAAAGAAAGAAACCCTGAGTTCTATGATGTCAGCTGCAAAGCTTAGAATTAATTTTAGTAAAATAACTAAAATTTAAATCAAATCCTTCAGTTATCAAATTTCTTAAGTTAATTTCTGATTAACTTTGGAATAGACTAAATTTAATCTTGAATTACAGTTGATGATATGGGAAATTTACCCTTATCTTTGGATTCTCATTGATGATGTGAGACACGCAAATAGTGTAGACTCGAATTATTTTTGTTTCAGGGACAACTGACACAAATTCATTTTTGTACTTTTTAGAATTGGGATAATATCCAAACTTACACATTTGGACATTTTAAGTAAAGAAGTAATATTGCTAGGTTCCATGGCATGATTATATTTAGGAAAGCCTTGAGGTTTTTACTATCAATCAGAATGTATTCTTTTGTTGTTGTGTTTTATAACAACACTTTTGAATTTTTATTAAGCTTCTAGTTATTTTTACCATATTTAATCAATGAGAAATAAAAATTGAAAAACCAGCGGAAAATCATGAAATCTCAATAATATGTATGTATCTATCCAGCTGTCTATCTATAGTAAATCCATTAGACCATTGTGTACATCCAGATATCAGGTTTAAATTTTGTCATACGTCAAATACATATGTTATCTCTTCATGTAAAGATGGTGTAAATTCTATCTTTGCTGGGAAAAGAGCAGCATTCCTTGGTAAAAAGATAGCTCCCATTTTCCTTTAAAAGCTCATCAAAAGGGCAGGCACAGTGGCTGATGCCTGTAATCCTAGCACTCTGCGAAGTCAAGGCAGATGCATTGCCTGAGCTCATAAGTTCAAGACCAGCCTGAGCAAGACTGAGACCCCTGTCTCTAAAAATAGTTAGGTGTTGTGGTGGGCACCTGTAGTCCCAGCTACTTGGGAGGCTGAGGTAAGAGAATCACTTGAGCACAAGAATTTGAGGTTGCTGTGAGCTATGATGTCACAGAACTCAATACCAGGGCCACAAAGTGAGATTCTGTATAGAAAAAAAAAAAACACATTAAAATTGTTTCATATTTTTGGGTTTTGTTTTGGAAAGAGTAGTTTATATGAAATAATATGCTAGAAACTCATATTTTCCATAATCCATATGAGAGATATCAGTAGCAATGGGCATAAAAAGAGAGTTTGAGTTTCAATGTGTATTTCCACAGAAAAGGATAGAGTTTGCAGAACCCTTCAGTGTTAGTGTTAGAGAAGGTTGCTGTGTCAGAGAATGTACTATTCATTCTGGCAATGAATAACCGTAAGCTTGTAGTACATCTTAAAATTACTCTTTGTTAGACAATTAGATTATAGGTTTGAATATGTATTCAATTGACTTCTTAAGCAAACTGTCATTACTTTTTTCCTTATCTCATATAATTGTGAATTAATCTTCAGCAAATTTCTGGAAAGATCTTAGAGTGGAGACACTTCATGCATCTTCTTTCCTATATTCCCAATCACAGGTTAAAGACAGTGATTAGTAAACTTATAAAGATCATTTTTATAAATAATTGTTACATTTAAATTTATATGCTTATTATAGAATTAACA